CACAATTTAACACAATTTTTTTTCTTTCAAGTTGCTGGCCTGTGCCGCCCATCGTGCCGTGTTCAAACCATGATCCGATCTATGGATGCTGTTTGACTTCCACGACGATACATGCGGCAAATCATCTCATTCACACCCAGAACTTGCCCAGAACCCTGTCCATGCAAGCGAGCAAACTCTCTTTGATCACACTTTGCTCATTTTGTTCAGGTCCCTGTCCAATCTGCCACTGCCGATAATGCTGCCGGTGGCAGTCAAGCGGCGGAACACATATTTTGATTATAATCGTCGAGCGTCGGAATGTTCCGTGATACCTCCTTTCAGCTATTGCCTTATATAGGCAGGCCTGGGCCTGAGCCCAAGCCCGACCCGACCCGGGCCCGACCCCCAGGTCAGGTCGGGCCCAGGATTTTGTCAAGCCCAAGCCCTCTCCGACCCGACCCAAGCCCGGGCTTTCAAGCCCGACCCGACCCGAACAACACTACACATCCTATGTGGAACTCCTAGAAATACCAGACAAAGATCCTGTGTACCTGTGCAATGTGTATGTCTCCCAGAATGACGTGCTGATGGTATGGTTCATGACAGCGTTAACGGGATCCTTAAACACCTGAAGCCGCATGATAACCTGGATAGCTACAGATTACAGCCCTTTGCGGAACATAGGGCGCGGCCATTTTTTTTTTTCCTTTTTGAGACATTTTCGATATTTTGGACCATTTCCCTCACTGCAGACTCAATTCCCAATGTATCGCTCTGAAAACTATATGAGCGGAATTGCAATGGAATTCCGCGTTTCCTCTCGTGCTTCGTTTATTTTTATTCAACCTGTAAAATATGTAGTATAAAATTATGACTCATTCAAGCAGATCTCCTCCCACAAGGGGAGATCTGGATACGGTGCTCCAGGCTGTGATTACAGCAGACATAGGCACATTTAAGAGGTCGCCTCGTCGCTGTATTTGATTTTTTGTGCCTCTGCTGCCCAAACGATGCAATTGAATGTGAAGATATTAGTGTCTACTTAAGTGCGATGTTTCTGCATGCTATATTGACCGGGTACTCAGAGGTTTGTTCTGGGCCCCCTATGAGGTCTTTAGAACAAACCCCACGACTCAGATTCTGAGTACAGTCCCTCACTATGGAACGCGACACGCCTCAATGTGACATCAGTTACGGAACTATGGAACGCGACACGCCTCAATGTGACATCAGTTACGGATAACTGCACCACGTGACTGTTACAGATCGCAAAATGGCGCGCGTCGCGTTCCATAGTGAGGGACTGTACTCAGAATCTGAGTCGTGGGGTTTGTTCTAAAGACCTCATAGGGGGCCCAGAACAAACCTCTGAGTACCCGGTCAATATAGCATGCAGAAACATCGTACTTAAGTAGACACTAATATCTTCACATTCAATTGCATCGTTTGGGCAGCAGAGGCACAAAAAATCAAATACAGCGACGAGGCGACCTCTTAAATGTGCCTATGTCTGCTGTAATCACAGCTCGCGCTCCGGCGGACTTGACAACGTCGGCGAGAAGTGTAGGAAAGCGTTTAGCCAACGACTAAAAATTGTCAGGGTGTATTTATCGATGGATGAAACAATACAGACCTCGCACTGGATAGCATGGTCCTTGATGCGGCCTGGATTGCGGTGTGGGGTTCGCGCAAGGCACCCAATACAGTAGACAACCGTGATATCCTTACCCTTACCATCGGGTTCTTTTTCTTCAATGATTAAACTATCCGCCAATTTGTCGGGGCGGCGGCCAGCGAGTCTGGGCCGAGCTGGACCCACATCGCCCTTTTCCGGGGCACCAGCGAGATCCAGTTGACGTTGGGCACGGATCTGGGCGTGCCGTATAGCCATTTCGGACATGGGAGCCATCGGGTTAACGTTCATGCCGGCCGTCTTGCCTGACCGCTTCTGCAGCGCGGCTGGAGTGGTCCCAGGAGGCTGCCGAACAGGTCAGACTTTACCGAAAATAGACAGTTGCAGCCACGCACCACAGGTAATTCAGTTTCCTCCTTCATCGCCGAGGTCAACGGGTCAATGTGTTTTAGCCACGCAGTACGCTCTGCGCTATCTTTGGCCGTATGAGCTTCGATGACATTATGGAAGTCGGGGATACTGTAATCCGGCTGCTCAATGAAGGCTGTACGGGCATTAAGGAGTGCCCCGAGAGCTTCTTCAGACAGCGGCATCAGGTCTCCAGACAGCAGGCGAGCCTGGCGAGGAGGATGAAATTTAGAGATCGCGGCGAAAATTTGATTTTCTCACGTGCATGATCTCAAGTCTGATCCGAGCAAATTCTTGCTTATTTCAAGTCGTAACCATTGTATATCGTTCAGGCAGCCTCTGGGACGTCTCTATCAGTCCTTTCATAATTTATAGCAATAAATAGCAGGCCTTCCTGGAGGTCTCCAGCTAGAAATGTTATTAACATGTTATTAGCATGCTATTTATTCTATGTTATTAACATGTGAGTTTCCAGCACAGCACTACAAACCATCATGCAGCAGCAACGACTTCCGCCACTTCCGCCTTTGCCAGCTGTAATGGGTCTCGCCTGTTACAAGTGCTTCAAGGAAGAAGGTGTTCGTCTGTCTCGATGTGGTGGATGTCTCCGAATCACGTATTGCAGTCCAGGTGCGTCGAGTGGCATTTTCTTCTGATGTGGTCGATAGTCATGGCTGTAATCGCAGAATGCCAGAAGGTCCGCATAAAGTTGTTCTTGGATGTTGCTGTTTCATGACATAGTTTATCAAGCTGGATTGGAAAGTGCACAAGCCTATGTGCAAGGCTCTCGGCGCGATCTTGACAGTTAATCCCGCCGTGACGACGATGCTCCTTGCTACCTGTCCAAGCGAACTAACCACTGACGTGAACATTGTGAACAAAATCACCCAGGCGGATGTCTCTTCTAATTACGCTTTTTGTGAGCGTTCTTTACAGAGGTACTCGCTTTTCACTCTCTTTGTCGGCGGGCTGACGTTTGAAAGGGACCTGACATTGTTCGAAAAGGAGCTGGTCATGTTCGAACCGAGATGTTGTGTCTGGTCTGTGATTTCTACTCTTTTCATCCCCGTCCACTGAGGATCTGTTTTGCAGCGCGCGCACGGAAAATCTGTTTCGTATGGAGGCTGCGAGGAATAGCAAGACGGCAGAGAATTCCGGACGTCTGATTCCCTGTCCAGAGTGCAACCTGAGCTTCTGCTGCTCGTCTGCGCACTGGGAGGCCGCGCGCTCGATCCATGACGCCCCATGCGAAGACGTGCGTGACGGCATGTCGCAATGTCAGTTGAACCGTGAGGTGCGCCAACACATCAAGTTCGTGGCCCGCATGGCAGACCACCTTGATCCGTCCGGACAGCTCATATGGGCTCCGGAACGGCTCAAATCTGTGTGGCAGTCATTGACAGGATTGTCCTGGGAGGGCGAATTTGGCGATCAGCTGCGCGAGTCTCTCAGTATCCCCGCGGCGCACCCGATCACGCCATGGATCCGTTTGGCGTCCGATACTCTCAGCAGGGCTATGACAATTTTGTATGCGCTCGAGAAACTGAATGACGACGATGGGTGGACCCGCAGGGATACGCTTACCATTCACGTTAGTCGTGTTTTTTGTTTTCAAATGTGATGCTTCCATTCCTGAGTCGTAACAGATCATCGGAGCGAACATCAAGGAGATCAGCCTCGGCCCAACTTTTGAAGAAATCCTCCACCGGCTGCCGAAAGTAAAAACACTAAAGGTGCGACAGTTTATTATCCAGAATGCGCTTATATTGAGTTGTATTAGCTGTTGTTGTGCGGTCCAGACCTGCCCGGACGCCACTTGTCACGAACTATCACTGTCGAATCGGCTTGCTGCCCGTATGTCCGGCCTTATCTCTCCGAGTCTCTACTGAACTCCATGTTAGGGAGTGCAAGCAGCTCCGTCGTAAGCGCATCCACGAGCACGCTCCCTAGTGAGTCCTTGAATCCTCCCTTTGAAGCCATTGCTCAATCGACGCCTCAGTACATACCACGAACTCGTCCAAAAGAAAGGCAGCGAATTCGAGAAGCCCGACCTCTGTATTGCCTTCAATTCCGGGGCGTCGCAGGTATCAATGCACACCTGGCCCGCAACGTTCCAGGTTCTCGTCGAGCGGCGGATACCTTCTTTGTTCACGGTGCGTCGTTGAAATACAAGCAAGGCTCCATTGACAACCGGCCGTTGTAGTCGTACAACCGCGAGGAGGCAGAGCTCGAGGCGGCGTTGTTGCGTGCTGCCGGCGCAACCTTGCATTCCGCCCTCGGGCCCACCAGAAACCCGTGGGGAAGCATTGATGCGACCCCTGAACCCATCAAAGTGTATGGTTTCAACGCGGTGAACGGATGGCTTGCAGGCGGGTTCAGATAAGAAGCATTTCCATGTCGATGGCGAAGCGGGAAAAAAAGACATGGAGTCCACGATCTGTGATTTACCACCTTTCATGTACGGATACATGAGATTTTATTGTAATGCGAATGCAATTTTTGAACTTGAACTGGCCATGGGTGTGGGCCTGAAGGTTGCGCAATTTACATTCTTGGAGACGAAGGACCGGAAGAATTGAATTCAACTCGAAGAAGAATTTCAACAAGAAAAAGAAAGAAAGAAAAACACAAAAAAGGGTAGTGACACCGGGAGCAGTGCACCAGCGGGGAGTCGAACCCCGGACTCCGCCTGAATCTTTGTAGTTCGTGTACATGAGGGCGGCGTGTCCCAGACACTACTGGTGCACATACACTTATTCAAGCTCAGGATTATATACCACGGAAAGTTTGAATTCCAAAGCATTTGGAGGAGTCAAGGAGGGGTGGAGATACTCGACGAATTCCTCACCTAGTGGCTAGTCTCATACGTGCACCGTTTTTTTTGCATCCAACCAGTCCAAACATCCATTCGAAACAAATTTGAAACGCGACGAAAAACGCCGAAGGCAAAAAAAAAGGTAGTAAAGAATTGGATCAGTGCACCAGCGGGGAGTCGAACCCCGACTCCGCCGAACATGTCGACTGGGACTATCATTCGAAGGCAGCGTGCCCCGGACACTACCGGTGCACATTTGGATGCTGGGACTCAGAATTATATGCTCCCCGAATGAATTACGGAAAGCTTCAACTGGCAAGCATTCGGAAGGGGGGAGGAGGGGGATACTTGACGAATTCTTCACCCAGCCTCTGTGCATCCTTTTTTGTGTGTCGAGTGAAAAATAAATTCGAACTGAAAGAGAGCGACGAAAAACGCACAACGCACAACACAAAAAAGGTTCCTGGTGGAGAGAAGCTTCGCACTGCACCAGCGGGGAGTCGAACCCCGACTCCACCAAATCCAACAGTTACGAGGGTATATCATCATTCGAAGATGGTGTGTCCCCGACACTACTGGTGTAGATGAGCATACTGAAACTCGGCATTATGTGCTCCTCAAATTTATGTGCTCCTCAAATCTACGCGGAAAGCTATAAACTTAAAGAGCGGAGGAGTGGAGGATGTAAGTTACTTGACGAATCCCTCATCTCACAGTCTCGCCCTTGCATCCTTTTTTGTGTGCCACAGTGCAAACATCCATTCGAAACGAAGGAGAGGCCGACGAAAAATGCACAACTCAAAAAAAAAGAATTTGAAAAACGGATGAATGCACCAGGAGGAGTCGAACCCCAGCCGGTGACTCGGCGACCTCCGTGAAGGATTTTGAACGTAGCTGTTAACCGAATATATCCCTACTACTCAGACATCAATGAAAAACCACTACGTAGTGCATTACAGTAATGATTCTAGTTAGAAACGGCGAAGGGGACGGTCGGCCCTTTTAGGCGCCCTGATAAATCCAGCTTACGCGTAAGCCTCCGCCTGTCAAATCGGCACGGCGAGCATGTGCCGCCTTTGTGCACAGAGACGGCACATATGCTAGCCTATGTGCCGGCTCTCGGCGGATGTGCCGGCACTGATATGCATGTGCCGCCTGTCAGAATGTTTGTGGTGGCCATGTCTTGTCTATCCCGATTCGTGAACTATCCCTTTGGTGTCTGTACGCCGTCCTCGAAGGGTTGTCGGTCAGCCATGTACTACCAACTAAAATGGTTTTGTATGATGTACAATTATTTCAGCATGTTTCTAAAGATCCATAATCAACTTCCGATGATTTTATATTATCCCGAGAACAAGCATGCGCATTCCTGAATTTTTAACTTACCTCCAACGATTCATGGCTCAGAGGTTGGCATTATTTGCCGAGATGATGTGATCAATGCCGAAACTTGTTCTGATGTCGATCAGTGGCAAGATCAGTTTCCGCGATCCAGAGATCGCGCACCCCTTGGGGGAAGCGTCGTGGTTACCGCGACACACACGTGTACACGGTCGTGTTCCGTCGATCCGTCTCGCTTGCAGCTAGCTTCCTGCCAACTTCCAGCTTGGTCTAGCAAGCCAATACTGACGCTAGCAGATCCCGGCTGTATAAAGCTATTGCTCCTAGCAATCGACCAGGACGAGTGCGACGAGGAAACTCAAATACCACAGCTTGCTCCACGGTTTCCCTCGGAGACAACTCGCCGTCTCATTATCTCAACAGCGAAGCCTGCTGCCTGCAGCCCGCCGGTAACTCCGACGGATCTGGGGTTCGACTTTGTGCGTCCCGTGTCTAACGTATAGTATGATCACAAATGGAAATTAGGGTTTGATTCGCCAGTAAGTATCCGATACAAGCTGAAGGCTCCATCAATTCTCATCCAACTCCAGCTCCAACGGATCTACCACTCGTGTCAGAAGCATAACCATGACTTTCGTTAATTCCGGTCGCCTTTGGGGCAGTAGCTTGTTCTCGATTCAACGATCAATGATGGACGAGTTCTGTTCAGCTCAACCACTCTACCAGCAAAACGTCGAAATCCTGCCAGCGGGGGTGTCTCGCTTAGTCTTGGACCCTGGACCAATACTCATTGGACTGGCCCGTCAATGTTCCATTTCTTCCGGGGTGGATCAGAGGATATCTGCTCTCATCCAACTCTCATCCTTTCGTAACTAAAATCGTGCGGCCCAAAATTCGTCTAATTCCGGTGTAAATGTTCCGTTTCTTCCGTGGTAGTCTTCTACACAGACCCTCCTGACATCCCAATTTGGGAACCCTGGAGCTCCCGCAAGACGGGAGCTCCCAAATTGGGATGTCAGGAGGGTCTGTGTACGAGACTACTTCCGTGGGGAGTTCGGGCTTAATTCGCCGTCGTAGGACAACTTGCCCCACGAGCGTCCCGTTCCAAGGCGTTTTAAACCGCTGGATGAGTGGATATCTGCTCTCGTCCAGCTCTCATCCCTTCAAGCGAGTTTAAATGGCGCTTCAAGTCCCCAAGCTGCTAGTATCGCTTTTTTCGATCTTTGCTGCTGCCTCCGCGGCGCCCTCACGTAACATGGTCGTGCTCGAACAACGCACAACCGTTCCCAGCGGATTCTTCAGTCAGGGTGCTGCTCCCGCCGACTACATTCTTTCCCTGCGCGTCGGTCTGGCGGCTAATAATCTTGCCGGTTTGGAGGCAAGACTGACATCCCTGTCTACCCCTGGGAGTCCAGAGTTCCGACAGTGGCTGTCGAAGGACGAGGTATGAGGCCGTCTTTGTTTCGATTTGTAGTGCGCTGACGGTACTACATCCCAAGGTTAAAGCCTTTACTCAGCCTTCCTCGGAAACGGTGACGGCCTTTAACGCGTTCGCATCCGCCAACGGCCTCAATGCCAGCGTCATCTCGCCGAACGGCGACTGGCTGGCGCTCACTCTTCCTGTCTCCCAAGCAAACGACCTGTTTGACGCACAATTTGAGTTTTTCACGCACCCATCTATGGAAAGTGCTATTGCCCGCACGCTGTCCATCTCGTTGCCTTCCGAGCTCGTGGGCCACATCGATGTCATCCATCCGAGCACTGAATTTACCCGGCCTAAATTCAGCCTGCCCCGAACCAGCCCCGATTCGGGCATGCAGCTCGCCAAGCGTCAAGCGTCATCCTGCAACACGAGCAACGGTAACGGCCTCATAACGCCCGCGTGCCTGCAGGCGCTTTATGGAATTCCGACCGCCCCAGCTACGCACTCTACTCTATCTACCAACTCTATTATCGTCCCTGAGTACTCGAACGAAGCGGCACAGACGGAATATTTGGCTGTTGGTCATTTTTTCCGCTGCAGAAGTATCGACTCACCGCTTCCGCAGGACTTTCTCACCCAGTTCCGTCCAGACATTCCGCTCAATACCACTTTTACTGTCTTGTCTGTTGACGGAGGGGTCAACAACCAGACAAACGATACCAATCAACCCCAAGTAGAGGCCAATCTTGATATCCAGTACACCGTTGGTGCGTCTCCGGCGGATTTTGGCAGTTGTTTTCAATCCTCACGTAGTGGGCTAGGTATTGCGACGGGGGTTCCCGTACAACTTCTGGCCGTGGGCAACATTGGCGGCAACGATAATACTACTTTTGATCCCTTTCCTACGGCCATCCTCGATACGACGACTTACCTCCTCGGGGTGGAGAATCCCCCGACGGTCATGACGACGTCCTATTCCGAGGTTGAGGGCGCATTTGGTCTCAGCCTGGCTACGTCAGTATTAAACCAAACTCCACTGTCCCGACACGTCTTGCTGATAGAAGTGTTATGATTTTGCAGCAAAATCTGCAACAACTACATGGCGCTTGGCGCTCGCGGTGTCTCTATCCTTTTCTCCTCAGGTGATGTGCGTGTGTCCCTCTGAGTCTCTGCTGGAAATACTCTGACGTGGTTGAATTAATATTCCAGGGCGGCGTCCGCGTGAACGCCGACATCTTCTGCGACGACAATACCTTCCTCGTTCAATTCCCGGCCACCTGCCCCTACAGCACCGCCGTCGGCTCGACCATCGGCTTTTCCCCCGAGGTCGCAGTGAACTTCACCAGCGGTGGCTTCAGCTCTTTCTTCTCTACGCCTGCCTACCAAGCCGCAGCCGTCTCAACCTTCTTCGAAACCGGGATCCCAGCGGGCTTCCCCGGGATCTTCAATGCGAGTGGGAGGGGATACCCTGACGTCTCGCTGCAGGGGTTGAATTTCGCGACTGTTACGTCGGGCCAGACTGAGCCGGTTAGCGGGACGAGCGCGTCCTCGCCCACCTTCGCGGCGATGATTGCGCTGATCAACGATCAGCTCCTCGCCGCGGGCAAGCCCGTGCTTGGGTTTTTGAACCCTCTCTTGTACAGTGACAAGGCCAAGGCGGCGTTCAACGATATCACCATCGGACATAACCAGGGGCTCATCTGTCCGCCGAACTCGGTGAGTTTCCATCGTGGATGAAATGGCAAGCTGGCTGAGTTGACGCTGTTTTTACTGTAGACGGCGTTCGACGCTGCTGTGGGGTGGGATCCTCTGAGTAAGTGGCTGCCACCTTGCTAAATGAGTCTAACGGATCGCGAATCATTACAGGCGGAGTTGGCACCCCAATATATTCCAAACTGCTCGAGGCGGCTCTCAACTGAGTCGCAGCTCAACTCAGTCAACAGGTCAAGGAGAGCCGCCTCAGCCTTAGGTAGGGTAGCTAACTCAGAATATATGGACACATTTCCGACGTACACTCTCTAAATTGCTTGTACTTCTCCCTGTTATTTATAGATGCACAAGCGGCTGCTCGGCCGCTTCGCGGCCTCGCATCCCCTTCCTGAGGCTTCTGGTAAATGCGCATGCAGGTTCCAAAGTTAAATTTTGAACAGTAATTATAAAGTCACCAATTTGATGCATTCGCACATTCCCTTGAAGAAGGGGCTCCGTTTACAACAAAGGAAATGATCTCACCGGGAACCCTCATGCACCGGCCGCGTGCATGTACGCTCTATGCACTACATATCATCCACGACGGCTGCGAAGCTCCATACACATTTAACACAAGAACAAGCAGCAGCGGAAGAAACAAGTTACGACATCGGAATGCACGCGCGGGAGTCGAACCCACACTTCGCCTGTTTTGATGGAGATGGATCCGGAAGAACCTGAGGCGGGGTGTCCCGGACACCGCTGGTGCGCGTGCCTTTATCCTCCGACTGCTATACATGCAGCAGGATAGGATTGTAGATGGTACTGCGAAGTGCAAAGTGAGTAAGACTGAGGACTGAGTGGGGCAATGACGAATTGTGCCAACACACGGACTCGGGGTTCTGGTTCGTAGTTGGTGTATACTTGGTGTATATCCAGAGTCCACATGAACCCAGCCAAGGAGATTCGGCCAGGTGCATCCACGAACTCCGTGCTAAATCCGTCAACGCGTCAACGGTTGAACGTGCGCCAATCGGAATACTGTCACGGTGCTACCGACTGGACTGGTCGATGTGCAAGTGATGTGCGGGTGGTGTGCGGGTGTTCCGCTGTGCGGGTAGCCCGACCGCGGGCGTTGCGTTGCGATGAAGTTGCCCGATGGGTAGGTAACCTGTGTCAATCGTGGATGCAAGCAAGCAAGGAAGTCATACTGTGAGTGTACTATAGCAACACGAAGCCTGAGGCGAAGGCGAAGACGAGAAGACGACGGGAACTGTATTATGTTTCGGAGTCGGAGAATTACTGCCAAGCCAGGGGGACGTGGGTAGGAGCGGGCCGGGGTGAAACGAGTTACTAGAGATTATACATTACTCACCGCCGTATAGAATGGGACACTTAGGCTGGGGAAGCTTAGGGAGGGATCATGCAAGATCGTCGTCGAGGGGCGATCAAATCCAGTGTGTGATGATGCGTCATGCTAGCCAGCCTGAGAGGAGAAAAGGCGAACTTCGGGAAGCCAGGATGAAACCACCATCATCTAAAAACACAATCTGTGCTACGCCAGCCTTCCCCCCCACCACACACCTCTGAGTGTCGTAAGGTGCACGGGAAGTCGCCGCCGAGCATCAGCTAGTGAAGATAGATCGAGGTCGTCTCGGAATTCAATATTCGGAAGAAAAGAAAAAAACGACATCCACTTCCAGAGTCGCGCATCCAGCCCATTTTTGCTCGTGAAGCTTCATTTTTCTGTCCACGTTGTTGCACGGACCTATACCTACCGTCGTATGTAATGCTGTCCACGCGTCTCCTGTGCTCGCCGCTGTGCGCCTCGATCCCGCCCATTTCGGCCGGCTTTCCCCATCTTTCGTGCACTGAGCTTATTTATGGTCCTTGAGGCAATTCCACTGCCCATGACATCCCATCCACATGTCTATCTCTCTGGGTACCACAGCTTCGTGCGCACACTCCAGACGATCCATGCTCGCCGTCGACGTGTCCTCCCATTTTGAGTCGCTTACTCAGCAGCACTGCCACGGCATCATTGGACCTCCGCGCAAGGCGGGAGGCGGGGACTTGCCGCAGCCGGGTTTGTTTTGGTCCTCACGGGCCCGGGTTGACTGTCATCTCATCCATGGATGTGAAATATCCCCAGATAGTGAAGATGTCCATGTGAAGCAACTAAGCAAGGTTCATGTTTGGTTCATCCGCCAAATTCTTAACCTCCATTCCCGTTCAATGATTGCGCCTCTATTTACGAGACTGGTTTAATGCTGCTTTGTGTCAGATTCCTCCTGATCACCTTGAATCACCTGGCTTATTTTCTTGGACTCAACAAGAACCACTGTGCCCGCCCGGCTCTGGACAGTTCATTACAACTGTGTGCCATGGGTAAACGATCTTGGGCCAAAGAATTAATCACGGCGGCATCAAGGCTGCTATTTGCATGCCCCGAGCTTATTCTAATCGAGACAACTTCAGCGAAAGATGTCATGGATTACTCTAAACTCGTGGAAAGTCTCATGTGGAAATGGTTACAGGAAGCAATTGACTCATCAGACAAGCTATACTTACTACACGGACAGATTGAACCTCAGAAGGACAAGCCACCAACGCCAGTGACTTCGAAAATGCGGCATTATCTCACAATGGTGAAAACTCAGAAGCATCGAGAGGCTTTGACCTCCATTCTGCTGTCTACTCACCTATTGGCCGTCGAAATATTGCGTTATGTGGACCATGCATACCAGCCGGTGCCCCGGGAGAATAGGCTTTGTAGGCTCTGCAGACAAGAGGTTGAAACACCGGAACATGTGATGATCACCTGCACGTCCTCAGACGCGCTTGTTGAACTACGCCGCATATTCCTGGGTAATTTATTTTCAAACTCTCCGAGCCTTCAACTCCACATGGCGGGACTTTTCAAATACGGAGTTCCTCAAAGCCATGATATATTCCAGACCCAATGTTGCACTAGTTGCGAAATTTGCATATGATGTCCTTGAATTATTCTACGCCGTTCCCGTGTTTCGTTTGAGTAATACTTGATCTGATACCGGCATATTCCTCTCTCTGTACTGATTTTCTTTGCTTTTGTGTATTCCTTTAGTTCTACCGCGGCGAGTCTTGGGGCTGCGTCCGTGAGCTCGGCTACGGGGGTGCATGAGAGCCCAGGGGCACAAATGTACATAGCGCGTGTACATTAGATAATCCCTGGAAACCGGCGTTCCTAAGCGGGACCGGCCGTGTAATTCTACCTACCTACCTACCTACCTAGACTCTAGAGGCCGCGGCTTCAGCTCAACTGTAAGATCGTCGAGGGATCATACGTCTGATGTCCGAGTAAGTAACGACTTGAGAAGAGGAACGCCGGAGGAATCTACTTAGGCAGCAGGGAGGGATACGAATCAGATGCCGCGGCTGCGGGTTGTCAATGTAGAGCGCGCCGTCGAGGTGGTAGGTACAAAGGAATCAGAGACACCCGCGGTCACGGTCCCGCACGGCGGGATTGGGGTCTGGGCGCTGGTGGGCGTCATCTGAGAGGTGGAGATGCCATCCATCAGCGTCGATTCGATGGCCCAGAGTTCGGGTTGTGCCAAGACTTGTGCCGTACGTAATGCGGATTGGGCAATGAATTATTGAAAGGAGTCTGGCTGTGTCTTGAGGAGGGCCCTGTGGAGATGCGTAGCCAAAAATCCAGCCTCTTGAGCGGCCGGGATGACAAGAGACCAAAAAAATCGATCGAGGAGAAATCAAGTCAAATAAACTCCGCTCGGCAGGAACTTGCCGAGATCATCAACCACAGCATGGGATCCATGCGGCGTTGGCTTTTATGTGCACGACGATGGGATTCTCAGGACTCGACCGTTCCCCCTTCGCTCCTCTCTCCTCCCGCTCTCTTTCGTGTCTCCTTTCTCCTTGTCCGCCTTTCCCCGCGCTAGACGCCCTCCACTGGTTGGACACTTTCGTTTCAAGTTGAACCCTTCTTTCTCCCCGCCCGGCACTCAATCAACCATGCGTCTCCCTACCACCTCCCTCCTCCTCCTCACCGCCTCCGCCGCCGTCCTCGGCTCTCCCGTCCCACCGCACATCCGGCGCGCCGCCGCCGCCGCCGCCGTCAAATGCGCGCCGGTAGACAAAGACGGCACGCCGCTCCTCAGCAGCTCCGTCGTCGAGCCGGGCGATTTCGCCGAGTGCACGTACAAGGACGCGGGGCAGTGCACGTATTTCGCTGGTGTGCGTTGCGTTCTTCTTCTCCTCTTTTCGAGTCTTTTTTCTTCTCCCGTTTTCTTCTTCTCCTATAAAATTTTGCCTCGTTTTGGGATGAGCGCTGACGACGGACGCACGCAGAACGGCTCCTTCTCCTCCGGCTCGAGCACCTGCCCCGCGGGCATCCCGCAGGATCCGGACTTTGGCGAGGGGACGACGACGGCGGCGACGTGCGTCTTCCTTCCTATCCTTTGCTCCCCCCTTGTCTGAGTCTAACCACCCTATATACAGCGCGCAAACTAAAGCGACGCAAGCCCCTCCGCCTCCGCCTCCACCGCCTCCGCCGCCGAAAACGACCAAGGCCCCGCCTCCGCCCCCGCCGAAGACGACGACGAGCACGAGCACGAAGCACACGGAGACGACAACGGCGGTGCGGGCAGCGAAGACGACGACCGCTGCGCCCCCGCAGACGACTGTCATCAAAGTCCCGCCACCGCCGCCACCGGCTACCACGACGCGCGCGCCGGAGACTAGTCTCGCACCCGCGCCCGCACCCGCGCCCGTGCCTCCCCCAGCAGCACCGACCGACGTCCCCGTCCCCGCCGCAGCCCCCGCACCCCCTGTCTCACCCAACGCCCTCTCCTTCGTGCCCCGGCCGCCCACCCCCACCCCCAGCGCGACAGCCCCTGGGGAGGCGAACGGCGCCGCGGGGGTAGCGAGCGCTGCGCTCGTTTCGCTTTCCCCTTCCTCTACGCCTACCAGTGGGGCAGAGAATTTGGGGAAGAGCAACGGCGCCGCGCGGATGCGGGTGGGGATGGGGAAGGCCGGGGTGCTGGTTGGCGCGATTGTTGTTGGGTTGGTTGTGGGGCTATGAGGGTGATGATGAGGCTGTATTGCAGGACTCGGACAGTGGTGTGGTGTCCATGGGTTCGGGATTGGGATTGGGATTCAGTACGGCGCGCGCCGTCGACGGGCGGACTTGTATTGTATTTGTATTTGTATCGGACGCACAACCATCCTTCCTTCCTTCGCCGACTCTGCGATGCTAACCTCAACCCGGAGCTAGCGGATTCTCCATTTCATCAACAACGCATATAACCGCATGCCACGCACCAGTGGTGTCCGGGACACACCGCCCTCGAATTTGATGCTGATTTCTAATTTCAAGCGGAGTCGGGGTTCGACTCCCCGCTGGTGCACTGCTCCCTGTGTCGCTTCCATTTTGTGTTCTTTTCTTCTTCGTGTTCTTACATACAAATTTCTTTTCGAGCTGCACTTCGATTGAATTCCTCTTGTTTTTAACTGAATGTTTGCACAGATTGGACGCGAAAAGCGTCGGGCACGGGATGCATTGTTTTCCAGGTGAATCCGAGGAGCATATGATGTAAGTTGCAGTAAGCACGTGCGCACCGGTTGTGTCTGGGACACCTCGCCTTCGAATTGTAGTGTTGTAATATGGAGATTCAGGCGGAGCTGGGGTTCGACTCCCCGCTGGTGCACTGTACTGTTCAAAGTGTTTTCTTTTTCGTGTTCTGCTTCTTCGTATCGGATGAATGGTTTCAATTGAATGCTACATTGTGAATGCTACATTGAGGGATTCGTCAAATAAACCCCTCCTCGACTCCTCTTGATCATGCATTGCTTTCCTTGTAAAATCGAAGAGCATATAATCCTGAGTTCCAGTAAGCTTGTGTGCACCAGGAGGAGGAGGAGGAGGAGGAGGAGATAGTATTACTGCAGAGGTCCCTATAGTTGTGTCTAGGACACACTGCCTTCCAATATCGCCTGGAATGAATTCAGGCAGAGTCGGGGTTCGACTCCCCGCGGGTGCACTTCTCAGTTCCCACTAACTTTTTTTTTTTTTTTTGCATTGTCCATTTTACGTCGGCCTCCCCTTCGTCTCGCATGGATGTTTGGACAAGTTAGACGCAAAAAAGGGTGCACGCTCGAGACTATGAGGTGAGGAATTCATCAAGCAAGTATTCCCCTCCTCAACACCTCCAGATGTGTTGGAGTTAAAGCTTTCTGTGTAAATTCGAGGAGCATATAATACTGAGTCTCAGCCTATTAATGCGCACCGGTGGTGTCCGGGACACGCCGCCTTCGAATTGTATAGTGTTGAAATATGGAGATTCAGGCGGAGATGGGGTTCGACTCCCCGCTGGTGCATAAATCTGTAAGTTGGCAAATCTTTTTGTCCGCTTCTTCTACGTATTCATTTCAAATCTCTGCAGCTACAGTGTTGCCGCTTAACGCGAAGCAGAGTTTCCCTACTTACTTATCTTTCCTTCCCCTTACCTCCCGTTTCAAAATGATAATATACAGCAACTCACCTGTCGAAGTCGCAAGGCCGAATGAATAAACCCAGCAGCAGGTAATGATATGTGATCCAAGTCCAAGGATACCGGCATCTGCACCAGTAGTGTCTGGGACACACCGCCTTCGAATAATAGTCCCAGTCGATATGTTCGGCGGAGTTGGGGTTCGCGCTGGTGCGTTATTTTGTAATTTCAATTCTGTTCTTTTGCCACCTGAGCCATTCCGAGAATGTATGAACAATCCGGAAACATAAGTACAATTGGTTGAAGATCCAGGATGCTGGAAGTATAGGCCAAGTCTTTCAATTGAAAATGAACACTGAAGTGAATTCGACCTCTTTGTCCGTAAAGACTTGTCTCGGTAAGATAAATCGAAGAGGCGCAGTAAGCAATTGGCTACGTAGGTTTGGTCGGCAGCCTGTGATTTCAGATGAGATAAATGGACCAAAAAAGAAAAAGGAGGACAAATCGAGGAAGTGGATTCAGAGCATAACATATCGTTGGTGTCTGAGACACACCACCTTACCTTGACTCTGGGAGCTGCTGTCAACCGATATTGGCGAAGAGTAGGGTTCGAATCCCTGGTGATGCATGTTTTGACATTGGTTTGGCATTTTTTTTACCTTCGAGCACTTGGGGAGTCGCATTATGAACCGAGGGCGAGAAAGAATGAATCCTAGCGTGGAGAACTACACAAGGGGTAGAGGAGGACTATTATGGTTGGGTTGGTAGGGAGGTAGAGAGGTAGGGAGCATTGCACGGCACGGTCCCGCTCAGGAACGCCGAATATTCGTAGTCGCCGGACATGGCCACGAGGAATCAGATTGCAATTGATCGCCTAGTGCAGCTCTAACATCCAAAAAATACAATTCAACTTACTGTGTGTCCATGTAATGTAGGACTCGGGTCAGGATATAACGCAGCGTTGCTGTCCGGCACCTGGTCCCCACCTCGTCAATGGTTGGCGCTGAGCGCCGTCGGTGCATGCGGAAGGCCGAGTATAGAAGGCTTTTAAACTCGAATATGTGTAAGTGTGTTCCATAGAACCAAAGGTAGAGATGAGCCGTGCACCGAACCTGTCGACGGTACGAGGCCGTAATTATTTTTACGGACCATCATTTCGTTGAAATATGGGACAGTTTTAATCGAGATAATCGAATAGTTGAACGGGGAGACTTTGTGAAAGCTGAGAACGGCGCACCTATATCTGTATCATTGAGCAAGTAAGAAAAGAAGTCAGGTCAGCCGAGTCCTATTTGACGATAGTCTTACCGTTGATAAGTTGAAAGTACACGAGTCAGGATAAGTCGAGGATGACTCATTGTGGGCGGGCGAGGGCGAGCTATGTAGGGTCTGCATTAAGGCATCAGTAAGAGGCGAAGTAAGGTTGATTATTCCCCACGATGCACTTGAAGTTCTACAACTATAGTAAACAAATATGGGTCCGAGAAGAACCAGATGAAGCCGTATGAGAACGAACCGCGTTCCGAGATAGGACACAGGGAGCCAGCGAGCACAGTGATACTGTAGAAAATGTTGAGAAGCACTCTAGCAGCCCACCCACCTCAAACTTCAAGAACGTACTGTATTATATACTACTGAATGAATTGAGGGCTGCAATTAATCAGAGCACTGAAGAAGGAGAGAACGAGAACACATCGTTGGTGTCCAGTGATAGGGTGTGCACCAAAACACACATAAAATTCAAATTTTCCTTCCTTTGATTAGACCTATATCAGAGGCATAAGTAAGGCATATAGAGGGTGTACACTCACCTCGGAGTGGTACATTAAACCGTTAATAGTCGCAAGCCAGCAGCTAAACAAGTGCTGAAGTCTTTATGACGGCTCGTCTTATCAGTCAGATTAAAGTCTTCAAGCCATACACTGGGCTCTAGAGCTCAGCTAACCACTGAAGTCTATATTAAACTAGAGGTGAACAAGAGGAACTATGGAGTATCTGGCCGCTGGGAGGCAGCACCCTACGGGATGGAACTACAAGTTCAACTTGTACGATTTGACTTGATTGGATTGAAGACAGACGGCCGCCGGTGATACCCAGCGGCCAGACTTCTTAACCACCTTGGATTAGTAACTCGAGATAGAAATGATTAGATGATGGTCCGCCCGTCGGTTGGATGACTGATTGGTGCGACTTGATGTAAGATTGAATTGAAGTAGTCCAAACTGGCCGGTGGCCATTCTACTAACAAGGGAGCTTAATGGACTTGATACGAGAGACTAGATAAGATGGATTGAACAAGAGATATACGGGTGGGCAGGCCAGTGTAGATGAAATCCTACATTGCCAAGAGCGGGCAGCCAGGTGATCAATCACCGGTGTTACCTTGACCGGAGCATGCCATACTGATGAAATATGAGGAATAAGATCCAGACCCACCCGCCGGGGCCCATTATACCCATGAGTCATAATAACTGCCATACCATTGGGCCGCCGGGCAGTTCGGGTCAGTCGGGTTGCCTAGAGAGAAGTTCCGGTTTTCCCTTATATCTCCTTTCATTGCTCCCTCGTTTGTATAAAAGCCAGTCGTTTAGCGTGTTTGTAATATTTTGGTGTAATATAGAGTTGACTCAGAAGACCTGAATTGAGATTAGATTGAGAACTAGTTTGAAGACTAAGATTGTGCTTGAGAAATACAACTACAAAAGCTTAGTTGGGAGCGACCTGTCGGCCGCCAGCCACTAACTTGCCTAAGTCGGTGCTTGGGTTAGAGTAACTTGTTGAACCCACCTTTCTGAGTTTGGGAAGCTGAGAATATATTGATTCGAATTGAGACATTAGACGACGACTGGCTTTGAGTGTCAATCCCGGGTTGACTATACTCGCCTTTCGTGAACTATAAGTTCTTCGTTTCAGTGTGGACCCCCCTACCTACTACCTCTATTGAAATCATACAAGTGGACTAGTCACTCTATCAGGGTGAACTCTTGATTATTGAATAGTAACCGAATCTTTGAATTGAATTGTACGCTCTTGATAGACGATACACCTGTCTCACCTCCCCAAACACACACACACTGAGTACTTGATTGAAGTTGTGATATATTGGATTTGATTTAGTGACTAGAGTTGAGACTTCGCTCACTACATTCGCTGAGTAAGACTCTTTATTTCACGGCCACACCCGAGTGCGCCATATCACCGGGACACACTGCCATACGATCGTCGACTTCCTCAAGAGTGATATTGGCGGAGAGCGGGTTCGACTCCCAGCGATGCAGGCGCTCATTGTAGGAAGGATGATTTTTGTTTTTGTAATTATGTTTACACTTCATCCGTCGCGTGGCATGGCATTCAAGCCCGGAAAACCGCGAAGCGAGTAGTGCGATTACCGCACCGGTGGTGTCCGGCTTCCTGTATTGCCATAATAGGATTCAGCCGGAGCCGGGGTTCGACTCTCCGCCCGCCAGTGCATGAATTTGCTCTCCATCGAATCTTCTGCTTCGTTCAATTCTCATGTTTTTAGTCTGCAGTCGATGGACGGTGAAGTGAGAATGGCACGAGCAGAAGTGGGGATTTGATTGCTATTTTATCATTTTAAACTACGAAGAGAATGGCGGGCAGGGTTGCCGCGTAAGACCCACCGTGTAGTCCATGAGTCGGAGCACTGAAGAAGAGTAGAACGCACCGGTGGTGTCTGGGACACATTGCCCTGCTTACAAGTTCTGCTTGACTATCGGTGGAGAGCTGGGTTCGACTCCCGGTCGGTGCATAAGCTGGGTGCGAGTTATTTTTTCTGTTATCGACCGACGGTGAAAGAAGAATACGAGCAGCAGTGGAGGACTCATCGATATTTCGAATTGTGAAGAGAATGGCGGGCAGGAGGCGATTTCCGCATGTAAGAAACCTACCCGCAGCCGCTGACGCACTGTTGGTGTCACACTGCTCTTCATTACAAGTTCTGCTTGGTTATCGGAGAGCTGGTCTTTTAGCACTCGGGTGCATCACCGAGGCTCGGGCATCTCGGCGAAGTTGCCCGGCTCACAAGGAATATTGGAGAAGGTATTGGAATATTATAGAACACTCACGAATATTGACTCACAGAATCAGTATATATACAATAGTAATGTGAGGGTTTCCTCACGAGTTTGTACCACCTGCCCTCACGGGCATCGTGTAAATCTTATCTTTGATTAAATCGAATTACTGCGTGAATCTAAGGCTTGAAGTCCTTAAAGCAGAAACTCCATCAGGTTTCGACTCCCATATCTTGGGAATAGAGATTTTTTTCATCGCTCGGAATGCAGGGGTTGCCTGGCGGCCGATATGCAATAAAAAAAAGCGAGATCATGAGGGGATCCACGAGTTGAAGTGCCAAGACGAGACCCGAGGAGGAAAATGGCTGTCAACGCAGATGCCGATGGTAAGAGAAAGAGGACGAGGTTGATAAGAATCCATTTCACCGAATTGAAAGCTACCGCCTCTGAACGAGACGGGAATTTAGTTCCGCGTTCTAGGTAGTGTGGCATCAGCATTTGGGAAAGAAATGTCATGTCAGGGCATTTACTGGGCAGACTTGCTGCGAGGCTGTTCCTCGTATTTCATAAGCGCCTCGCGCATTCTCGGTACTCGGGCTGTTGGGGGATATTCCGTTGAGACTGTCGAGTTAAAATACCGATTCTGTTATCTTTTCGGTGCCTCCAGGTAGGCGAGATTGAATTATTCCGCAGCTCAACTCACATGGATTTGGAGTAAAAGAGCATGGTAGTAGCATGGTCATCACAGAGCGCACTATCGTCCACAAGGAAGATAGCTCCGAAAGGACCATATCAGGTTGGCACACAAAAACTCGACAGATAAGAAAGCGGGAACTGGTCAAGCAGCAAGCCA